GCGACGTCGATCAACCCAATATCGACTTCGTTTCGACGTCGATTTCACGACGTCATATTGACGTCGCAAACTGACGTTGTTTCAACGTTGTTTCGACGTCAGGTAAACTAGAGTTTGCTGCGTTTGCCGCATTTAAATTGTACGTCGATATATCAACCTATTCTCGACGTCGTTTTCGCGACGTTTATTCAACGTTGTTTCGACGTTATATAAAAAGTTTACAGTACCAGCTTGCAAAGATCGCAATGGTAAAAATATCATTCCTGGTAGATAGTTAGGACGAATGTTGCGATTTTAAGAAGTTAATTTCTATGTAACAGACCATTTAAAACCTTTATTAAATACCTCGGGCCTCCCCGGAGCAACATCGGTCATGCATCGTTGGTACAGTGCGCGCAGTGCATTTCGGGAAGGTCGAATTGAGCGCGTCCATTTGAAAATTGAAACATGTTGTCGCGAACGGAATATGAAACATTGTAGCTGTATATTTCGGGATATTTTCACAGGATTTTCTCAGTTTAATGGTTGGATATCTTCACATAAATCCAAGAAAGCAGTAGAGGTTAGTGAGAGTCAGTTTTACAGTGTGTATTGCCATGACAAAGGCCATGAATCGCGAGATATGAATACGCGATCGTGACATCGTGATTATATTTTGAAATTTAAACGTTTAAAACATTGCCCAAACTCTTTGTTTCTCTTTTAAAAATGGTTCAGCTAAACAAATAACGATACTTGCTCATTAGATTTTGTTAATTTATGTTTCAACGTCGTGTGATCGCGGGTTATTCATTCTAATATGACTTTGTATATACAGTAAGATCGCCATATTTGACGCCAGAACTAATTGCATTTATAATCCAATTCAATCCGCTACTTAGTTTTGATGATTTAGGCCCAATTTATGGTTCCGTATGTTAGTCGTGTGTTATTTATGTGTTGAACGTGATTCGATTTAGCTATTTGCTTTGATTTTTTGAAAATTACGTACTATTATAAGCCCTTTGCTAGATGAATAAACTTATTTTTATTATGCTGCTCCCTTTGCCGGTTACCTTTCTCAACTGAAGTGTCGACGTGCTTAGTAAATAACTAGCGAACGGCCTAGCACAGACCTATAACAAATATACGCATGGGGTAAGCGCACACATAGGGACCACATATGTAGTAAACAATATCATCTCAACTTTTAAGGTTGGCCAAGCAAGTCGCAAATTGTCATCACAAGTAAATGCCCCTTCTGTTGCTGCGTGTATAATGATGATGACAAGATTGTTCAGAATGAAGGGAAAGATAACATACTTGAACATAATATCCAATTCCATAGTGGTCTATAGTGCCCAAAAACTTACTTTTTATTTTACAATACTCAGAGACTCTTCTCGCACTATTTTGAGGCGAGATTTTAAGAAAACATAATCTGAGATGAAGGAATGCCAGACAATTTTTCGAATCTGATTTCTTAATTTCAAATCAAGTATATTGTAGATTTAAGCAAGGTGATGTAAATTGAATAAAATTTGTTTGAACTATATATAGAGCAAGTATGTTTTTTATATGCATTTCAAAATCTAGCTAAAATCTTATGCACGGACGTTGTTTTAAAGGCAATAATCTAACGTCGATTCGATTTGCGTTTTCAAATCATTTTCGATGTCGTTTCGACGTTGAAATTTCATAAATTGCAGACGTCGATTCGACGTCGATTTCCCGACGTCGTTTCGACGTCGAATAATCGACGTCGATTCGATTTGCATTTTCGAACCTTTTTCGACGTCGTTTCGACGTCGCTGGGTGACGTCGATTCAACGTTGAATCGACGTTGTTGTGCTCACTGGGTCGTCGTGGCTGTAATTATTGTTGTACTTTGTGTTGCATCTGCCGTGGTGTATTATCGTCGACGATGGTTTGGAAACAGAAATGGTGGATCGTGTACCGGTGTTCAAGATACAAATGCAGATCAAATTTACGAAGAGATTGATCTTAAAATTGTGCCGCAAAAATTCCGCTACCAGTCACCGAAGAGCTCCGTAAGCGATGGATACTCAAGATTAAAATCCCAATAATGCGACTTTATTTTCAGAAAAATCACACTCGAAAAGGTCGAAGGACGGAACTAAATGGTATATTTCGTTAATCATCGTCGTGGCTGTAATTATTGTTATACTTTGTGTTGCATATGCTGTTGTGTGTTGTCGTCGACGACGGTTAGGAAACAGAAATGGTGGATCGTGTACCGGTGTTCAAGATACAAATGCAGATCAAATTTACGAAGAGATTGATCTTAAAATTGTGCCGCAAAAATTCCGCTACCAGTCACCGAAGAGCTCCGTAAGCGATGGATACTCAAGATTAAAATCCCAATAATGCGACTTTATTTTCAGAAAAATCACACTCGAAAAGGTCGAAGGACGGAACTAAATGGTATATTTCGTTAATCATCGTCGTGGCTGTAATTATTGTTATACTTTGTGTTGCATATGCTGTTGTGTGTTGTCGTCGACGACGGTTAGAAAACAGAAATGGTGGATCGTGTACCGGTGTTCAAGAGACAAATGCAGATCAAATTTACGAAGAGATTGATCTTAAAACTGTGCCGCAAAAATTCCGCTACCAGTCACCGAAGGGCTCCGTAAACGATGGATACTCGAGATATGCTGCTTTAGATAAGGCAAGAGATACAGACAACGCTTATCAAACTCTAAAATAACTAATCACAGTAATACGATAAAATTCACGGTAGCCGAATTCCTAGAACTGCATGTCAAGCATTTTTTAAGTAAACTAAATACTAAACTGAATACAACAAATTTTCTAATGGTAGGGGGTGGAAAATAAAAAACCCAAAACGGGTAGTAAATTTCGGCATGGTGGCCGGGTTGGAGGTTGCCAATAATTTCCAAAAACTTTAGTTGACGACGAGATAAAAAATCAATAATTATTATACCTAATTTTTACTCATAAAATATCATCTGTAAGCTAAAATACAAACACGTTTTATTATAATATCTCGATCCTAATTCGTTCGAAGTCGCACCATTGAGTTTTTTCAACTTTTTTCAAGGGTGACAGGTTGTGGATGTAGCCAATTACGGCCGGATTATTTCTTTGCGAAGCCATGAATATCGTTTGATTAAACTGATTCACTGAATCAGCACGGTAAACAGCGTGTGACTTCTTATACTAAAGCGCGTGGTTGACACTACTGTAGTCCAAAGAATGGGTAATGTTTCACGATCAGTTTTCGGTAGAATGACACAGCCTTTTGTTTTGCGTTCCTGCCTCTACTTATGTTTACCGAAACTGATTGTGCATGTGAGCTATATGCTAAAGCTTCAGCAGACAGCATTCACATCTACAAATATTACATGTTACTATTAAAGTAAAGAAATTGCATTTGGTCTTGCAACGCATCCGCCGTATTGATTAACTCCAAATTTCAAAAAAAGTAAGCGATTAGCCGTTTTCACATCAGAAGACGAACAAATCGTCTATAGACAAACCAATCGCCTGCTGTCGGCGGTCTGCAGGTGTCGCTAAATACTGTAGCTGTTTTCACACTAGAAGATCATATGTGTCGTTTAAATATTGATTATTATATTTGAGTAAGACGTGCAAAGTTCAAACAGCTCAAAAATGTAAGCAAAACACCGTACATATAGAAAAGCTGTGTTGATAATAAAATAATTTGCATTTGAATTGCATATTTGATTACACCGAAAAGGTTGGCGATAAATGGCGAAAACTGCCGAGTGTGACGTACATCAGTTGTGTGACGTCATGGTATAAGACAAGCATTTAAGAAAGCAAGCAAGCAAGCAAGCCTCTGACATAGTTGCTACCGCTCATGCGGTAGTCACAAAAAACAGTGCAAAATATGTAACAATATGTACCAAGTCTTACGCTCACGGTTTTTTAAAAAAGTACCCCAAAAATGGCGGCATATTCGTCATCGTGAGAAAGGCTAATTGAATCTAGACGAGTTTTAAATATTCAGTCATATATATTGCCTACATTTTACCTAAAAATTCCGGCGCTGGAGGACTGGATCATACCTACAAGACGGGCTTCAGTGCCCGCCATTTTGGCTTCAAACTTCCGGCGGAGCTAGCCTTGCGATCTTATTTGACTTCATTGGTGTCAACATGCAACGTACCTCAGTCCCAGGGCCTTTTACCTTGATTCTGGGTTGGGATAAAAGGCCAGCCGCTTCTGACTTCTGATTGATTAAATGATTTTTCTAATATATGTTTAATTGGAGTAATATTCTTGAAATTATTCCCAAACAGCACTATTCCAATATGCTGTAATACGAGAATATTATCCGTTCTATACGCAACGCCGCCATTTGAAAATATTAGATAAATTTTATGATAAATTATGCTTGTTCAATTTACGGAATCAGGGCCTTCCTCTTCTCTCCTCTCGCTCCCAGCCCCCGTATACAGTCCCAAAGGCCTTGGGAACGAGACTGGTCAACACGATCAAAATTCGTCTCATTGTCCGTAATATATTAGTCTTTATTTGTTTGCTATATTCTCATACTTATTTACCATCATCTCGCTCATCATGCCAGTCATGACCTGTTTTACAACTCAATCAAGCTCGCTTACTTAAACGGTGGTTAAGTTCAAAGTAGAAAGCAAGTCTATCCTTTTATTCAAAAAGCAAACAAAATGTTTTTAACCTTAATACATAGGTACTGTTTACAACTACATATTCAGTGCATAATACTCAAGTTGACTCAATCAAGAGAGAGATTATTAACTATTATATATATGGTCCATCATCAAATTTGCTTCGAGGACACTAAGGGGTTCTTCACATGAGCCCGGTTACCGAGATTTAACGAAGCATAAAATGGGATTTTGAAATATTGAAATAAGTCCTTTTGAAACAGAACATTTTACGCTTCGTTAAAACTCTGAAACCGCGGGCTCATGTGAACAGCCCCTAAGCAAGATAGAACACATTAACTGCTGGGTGGTGATGCACCGTGGTATTGGTGTAAGCCAGCGTCATCGTTTCAGCAACCAGGGTTGCGGTTTACTGAAAAAAAAGAAGCCAAACATGTTTATAGTCGGCTTATTGATTTCATTGTTTGAAAGAAAGAAAACAACGATTATGGTAATATTATTTGGTTAATTTATTCAGTGATCTGTTAACCCTGTCAACAACGGCGATGTGCAAGGTTAAATGCAACGTAATTTACCTTTTCTTTCGTCTTTAAGGATCAATGGCATTGTTGATGACAACGTTGCAGTTGTATTTCCTAAACTCTCTACAACTACATCTATAAGGCAGAAGAAACCTGTTGTATCGGCAAAACGTGCTGGCTTTTTAGCCTGAACAGGGAAGGAAGCATGAGGAAACAAAACCTATTACTTTCCCTTCGCTTAAAGGAAAATGATGAAGGGAAACTAATCTTACTTTCCGGACATATCGACGCTTTTAAACACAAAACCTAATAAATTTAACGTAATGTCTACTCAAAAAATTGGAGGCACGTCACTTCGATTTGGTAGAGTTGGACTAATGCAAGTAATATTAACACGAGCAGACTCTTCTTCCAAATATTTTATATTGGTGATATCATGTGTTTACTCATTTCTAGAAAGACGTACGTCGAATGCATGACAATGCTTATGCATTATTAATTATCATAACAACAGCAGACGCGCCCTACTAAAACATAGTAAGAACGGGCGGCTTATTTTATTTTAATATTGTATGTCAATTGCTGCTCAATCGATTCTGTGTTGTATATTTGAGAAGCTCTCCGATCGCTTCCGTTAGTTTTCTTGTTGGATTTTATATGAAGAAAAGCTGAGAGATGCAGAAGAATAAAGTATGTAATATAATGATACGGTTGCGATACATTCAGTCTGTGACAGTGTTTCGGGAGAGTCAGGAAATGGTTTATTGTAGCGTCTTCAAAGTGTACGGGGTATTAATACTAATGAAAGAAGTCATTTATTTCGTTCGTTCGTCAATCGTTTAGATTTAAATTAATTCTATTGTTAAATTATATCTAAAACTGAATAAGAATCACAAATTTTAATAGTCACAAATTCCCATGGCGGTATCTTTGTTTGTCGTAATTGGGGATCTTTATGTTGGCCCGGCAAGGCCAACAATATTTGTGAAGAGGATCGAGGTTTCAAAATCAATGTGTTCAACTTTACTTTCGATAAAACAACTTCTAACATTTCCACAAAGTACTTTAATTATGTTTTGAACGTCCGTTGTTATACCTGTGGGAGTTAGGCCCGTTTCAGACGTCGAACTTTTAATGTGCTGAACCTAATTTAATAAGCTAAAGTCTTTGTTTAACTTCATTTGCATTCGATTCGGCACTTGAAAAGTTCGACGTCTGAGACAGGCCTTAGTTGAGCGGAACTATAATAACTTCCCGATCCGAACAATATCGGCAATTAGCTATTTCCTAATCGAGCAGGGGTACTGGGTCTAGATCTACTCGCGAACCGCAAAGCATCTATGGACTGTTTGGACAAATATCTATGCTTTTGACAAATAACTAATTGACAAACATGTATGCTTTTTATATTTGGAAAGAAATTTTACGAATCACCAGAATGGGTGTGCTTTAACACTGTAACAACACCCGCGTGCGATAAGAAGAAATTCTGGCAGTGTCGCTGGGTCCTTCCAATTCGTTGAATACAAAAGCACTCAATGTGACTGGATTTACATTCAACCCTCTTAATACAGCGACAATTTTTATTACTAGTGAACATTTGTGTGTGAAGTTTAAAATACCGAAACAAAAGGCACAATCGCCCAACATACTCCGTGAGTGTTAAATGTGTCAATCATCAACATTGGTTACAAAAAGTAGCAAAGTGGGCAGAGAAGGCACTTTTAACCACATTTAGTCTGTGTTCATGGAGGCTATATACGGCAATGGACTACTTGCATAATAGACCAAATTTTGATTCAGGCGACAAACGGGGCATTTCCGAGAAAAGAATTCCTAAACTTATAGTAAAACGTGGCTGCGAAATATTGTAAAGTACCGAAGATATAACCTATAGTGAAGTTAGCAAATTTTGTATACCTTTGTATTATGGCCGGAAGAGTGTAATTAATAACTAAAAAGTTTTGCTTGTGATACAAAAGTATACAAAAATCGTTTACTTCGCGCAAGGCTATATTTTCCGTTCTACTCGAAGTTTTGCAGCAAAACTTGGCATTCATACACTAATCTCAGTATGCTATTTTAGCTGTGGTAACATTTCCCCTTCGAATTCTTACCTAGATCACAAGTTGGTCTATCATACAAGTAGTCCATAGCAAAGATTATACCAAGACGAAAATAAAGCAAAATGACTTCACGACTGACGTACGACATAAATAGTAATCTTAACAGGTTAATTATTCTTCAAATCTCAGGAACTAATATTAAGAGGAAAATTTTCATCCCGATGCTGCTATTCTCCTTATTAGTTTAAGATATCAAACCTTTCACTACAAGCCGCGATGTCGAATTACAACAAGCAGATCAGAAATTTATGTCGATGTCGAATGACAACAAGCAGATCAGAAATTTACATCAATTCACATTATTTCACATCAGTGAATCACATTATCTGTTAACTCTAAGTGCAGTTGGGCGAACAGGAACAAATATAATCGCATAAACGATCGAGCCTTCATCGGTACGGAAAAAATAAAGAAAGCTTGAAATTTTTCGAAAATGTACCAGGGGGTATTCTATAAATAAACTTAATTCAAATATGGGACTTTATGTTGCATGTTATTAGTTAAGTAATTGTATCTTTTTCGGATATTGGTAATCCTAGAAATTAATAATCAATTATTGGACGAGGTCGAGCAATTAGTGCAACTCGTTTTTCAGATATAAGTAAAACTCATTTTTCGAAATTTCAGCAAAGCGAGTCGCCATTACAGTTTACAAATTTAAGCGAATGCACATGCTCAGATTAGTATTTCTAGCTGAGCTCGTTTTCAGCAAATGCGCATGCTCCGACTACTATTTGCACGCAGTTAATTGCAAGTAAATCGACCAATCAAAATCGAGAAAACAATAAAGGGATTATAACAACAATTTTGTGGACTATATGTGGGCTATAAATATTATTAATTCCAAATATCAAAGTTGACTTCGTAGATTTATGACTGTTTTGCCTGAACTGGGTTGAATTTTGTGTGCAATTTCCACAAGTGGATAGGAGAAAATAGGGTTGCGAAATAGGATACTGAATAAACACCGCGTGGACATTTAATTTAGTCTCTCAACATTGAACATGCGTTAACCAAATAATGTAACTCAGTATATTTTTCGTTTCAGTTACCTGTACACGAGATGACAAGTTTTGCCTTCATAACTGGCGCAATTATTTTTTTAATTCAATTTGCACCAAATCAGTGCCAAGGTAAATCATTAGTGAGATTAAGATACGAGGTTTCAGCCTATGTTAATGAGTTTAGAGATTTTCATTTTGATGAATACGCATTAGGAGGTGGGAGGGCTGGAGTTCGCCGCTACACCGCCCGTTTTGGAAAATTTCCTGAATAAATGCATACACTAAATACTTCTTAAGACAAAAATACGTCGAAGTATGTGAATGGAAATCACCCACTACAATATTCTCACACCATGTTTTAATTAGGAACCTCCCCATTTTGCTTAAAACATCGCCAAACAAAATGTGTTGAGATTCGCATGGAAAACGTTTGAGATTCATTGTCTATTTACCTGCCTTTAGTGTCGCTAAGGTTACAAGGGCCATCAAGTGGCAATGGTGCTGGCCGGGTGGAAATATTACACAAAGGTAACTGGGGGACAATCTGCGACGGTGGATGGGATATGAAAGACGCTAAAGTCGCATGTCATCAACTTGGTTATCAAGATGTTGCAAGAACTCTTCAGAGGAACGAGGTTCCTTCTGGTTCTGGAAATATTTGGCTAGTTGCTCTTGATTGTACTGGAGATGAAGAAAATATTGCAAGCTGTTATCATAATGGTTGGGGGATTAATTCCTGCTCTCATTCTCAAGATGCCGGAGTAGAATGTTCTGCAACAGGTATGAAGGTATCGATAGATTTGGTAATTTAGTAGATACGGACTTTGCCCGAAAATTTTAAACGGAAGTAACATTGACAAGGTTATTTCAACAGTTTGAAAACAGAATATACAGACACTGAAACTTTCGAAAAGAACGCTTGAAAGAGAGGAAGGCGTAGGAATTCTCGAACTTCCCACAAATTTCTTGTGATTTGCAATATTTTGGGGAAAAATTGAGCAATGAGCAATGATAGTTTACAGAAAAATTTTCTTGGTTCTCCAAAATTCTATGAAGATAGCTTTTGCTTATGAGAGGAACTGTTTACAAGTGTGCTTTATTTTCAATTAAATTCAGAAAAACGTTTTTTGGACTAGAGCTTTACTGAAGATTATGTGTGAAAAAGATCATTACATGATTGGTTGTCATTAAAGGCCGACACAGACCGGAAGCGATGCGGCAACGTGACGCGAATTTTCATTTTTCAGAAGCATAGAAATTAAATTCTGGAAGCAAAATTTGGAATCTATTGACGCCAAAGCAGTCAAAATGTATTATTGTTATGTAATATACAATAATATTATGATAGGTTAGATTTTACTTTATTTTGAAAAATAAAAAACGTTGAAAATTCGCGCCGCGTTGCCGTTTCGCGTCCTGTCTGTGTGGGCCTTAATAGCCGGAAATTAATTCGCGAAACTTGATTGGGCATTACCCCAGTTGGATAGTAGTTACCCCCCGGTAAACTAAACTTCTTGACGGGTTAAAAACGAGTTATAAGAATAGAAAGGTGCCTAAGGGGCTGTTTACATGAGCCCGGTTACCCGAGATTCGACGAAGCGTGAGATGATTTTGAGGAATTGAAGTGAGCAGATAACATGATCCTGGCAGTCGTATAATCACCACAACAATAGCATGTGCTTGTTTGGTGTCATAAAGACTTATTTCAATACCTCAAAGTCCTCTCACGCTTCGTTGAATCTCGGGTAACCGGGCTCATTTAAACAGCCTCTAAGTGTGACTAGTCCATTAGCCAACGTGGCATGTTTAAAAACGTTTCGGCGAGTATTTTTACTTTAACCATTTGATAAAAGCTACGATCACAAAGCTGGTAGCACCTTTGGGAATTCTCATAAATGCTTAAAAACTATAGCGCAAAACACTGGCTGAATGTTGCATATTTCAGTTCATGAGAAAAAAAGGAAGAAACCAATGAGGCCTACCTCTGAAATTATGAATTTCCTCACGCTCCAATAATTCTATGTGAACGTGAACAAAAGAATATTGAATCGATTTTCAAATTCCGACAGCTGAAAATCACTAATTGTCATTATATTTTTTCAATAAACTAATTGTCATTATAATTTTATCAATAAACTATTTGTCATTATAATTTTATAAACAAACTAATTGCCATTGTAATTTTATCAATAAACTATTTGTCATTATAATTTTAACGATAAACTTAACTATTATTATAATTTTTACAAAAGTACAAAAATTAAATTATCATTCATTTACACCATAATCAAGTAGATTCTCTCCTGCTTTTGTCGTATCGGAATTCTTAATTCTTTTTAGATTTTTCAACTTCTCCAGTAAAAGTGCGGTTACAAGGACCATTAAGTGCAAATGGTATTGGTCGTGTTGAAGTATTATATCATGGATATTGGGGGACAATCTGTGATTATGGTTGGGATACGCAAGATGCTAGAGTTGTATGTCGTCAACTTGGTTATAATTTAGATCATGTACACAGTAGAACTCTTTATAGAGACCTGGTCCCGTCTGGTTCTGGACAGATATGGTTAGCCCACGTAGCTTGTAATGGAAAGGAAAATAACATTAGAAGTTGTTCTCATAATGGTTGGGGGGCTATTAATTATTGTTCTCATTCTTACGACGCCGGAGTTGAATGTTCTAGCACAGGTAAGATAAAGATAATTTAGGTTCTTTTTTGAAAAAAATACATCCTTTTATCGACCCCTTTTACCAAGTTCGCAAGTAAAAAAAATTCATCCGCGCCGTTCTTCCAACACTGTGAAACAAATAATAAATCTGTCACCCTTTAATCTCTGAGCCGCGGAAATCTTTATCACATGGTACTGATTCTGTAGGCCGAATTATTATACCCAGGTATGTCGACAGAAATTTGTTGACATGGCATGTCGCATGTGCGACAGAGCCGAATCGCAGAATTTTGCGCGTGCGCAAAGTTCGGACGAGTAGAAAACTGGTAATTAGCAACATGTTTATTGGCGAAAAGGAAAAGTTTGTATTTCAATAATAACGTCAGTTAAATGAATTTTTTGAAAACAATCATTATTTAAAGCTTTTGGAGCCGAGTCAGTCGACAGCTGTTACTGCATAGATATTGGAAAATCGACTTTGACTTTTACTTTAACATTCCTTAAAAGAATGTTGTATACTGTTTTGATATCTTTTTGATGTTGAAGATCTAGCGGGTTAACTCGTTGATTGGCTTATCGTATAATATTTAATTTATTTAATTGACGTTTTGTAGACATGCATAAACCTTAACAAAAGTTTTAATTTACTTCATAACATTGACCTTCATTGGGAAATTGTAAAACCTCGTGTGATTTCAAACAAACAATACTATAACGTTTATTAAGGTTAACTGATCGTGTATTGTCAATATAACTATCTTAAGATTTGTCAGTTATGCCTGTTTCCATCCGGTTACAAGGACCGTTGAGTACAAATGGTACTGGTCGTGTTGAAGTATTTTTTAACGGACAATGGGGGACAATCTGTGATTATGGATGGGATTTAAGAAATGCGAGAGTTGTATGTCGTCAACTTGGTTATAAAGACGCTGTCAGAACACTTCGAAGGGACACTTTTCCTTCAGGTTCAGGAATTATATGGTTATCTTACGTCGCTTGTAATGGGGAAGAACAAAACATCACAAGTTGTAACCACAGTCCTTGGGGAGATCATTATTGTTCTCATTACCGAGACGCTGGAGTGGAATGTTCCACAACTGGTATGAAAATATCATTGAAGAGAATTAATGCATGAAATAAATAGCTTTATTTTAATTATGTAAATAAAGCAATTTGATTGGCTGAGAACTGTTTCTATTTCACAGCGGGCCGGATGCACTTTACAGCGGGTTGGGTGCAAAATTCAGGCCCGCTGTGAAATACAACCGGTTAAAAATGTGAACAAAACGACAAAACCAAACAACGTACGGCTAAAATGTGTGAAAACCTTTCTGGGAAAGGCTAAATAAATGCTAAAAATAAGTTTTTTCGCCGTTCAATACGTTGTTTTTTAATCAATTTGCCGTGATTAAGTTGCTATGGTAACAATATTCGGCATTTCATTTGCTGTTTCCCGACTAGAATGCTCTTTAAGGAGTTGATGACGTATTAAATTTCTAAAATGGTTTGCAGAATTCATAGTTTTTATATTTTAATAAGTTTATTCATTAAATTTGTTGCAACTTTTTGTGTTTGATAAAGTCAATAAAGTCAAGGTTAAAAAATAAACCGAGACCTCGGGCACAGTTTTTTCCATCCGGACCTCGCAGCCGGTAAATAACATACAGCTATATATTCAATGAATAAAGCAGCAATGCATCTTAAAAACAGAAATTATGCTTTAACATCTTTGACTTGTTGGACAGGGGCGTAGCCATGCAGCTTGATGGTTTTGACCCGCAAGGAAAATTTATTATCACAATTATATAAAGTTATTATAATTATTTATTTTTTAAGGTAATCGGTCTCATAGTTGTTGAACACCATAAATTAAGCAACCTGAGGCTGTCGTAAAGCTTCCTGTGCTATTATTGGTCTTAAGCCTTTACATTAATTCAGTGGCGTAGCCAGTCTGACGATTTGTCTCGCTATATATGTAAATTTAGAGTTATTACAATTATTCATGCCTTTAGGAATCTATTGTTTTCACAGTCAATGAACACTGAAATATTAGCATAGTGGGACAAATCGACAGGCTGGCTACGCTAGTGCATTGATTCATTCAAACCTTTTGCATCTTGCTTTCAATCATGTTGTTGACTTAATTAGCTCGATTATGAACACAGGCTGACGTAGATTTCTTTGAAAGATTTTGCAGATGAGTCTATAAGAATAAGATTGAAAGGACCATTAAGTGCAAATGGTACTGGTCTTGTTGAAGTATTCTATCATGGTTATTGGGGGATAATCTGTGATTATGGATGGGATATGAGAGATGCCAAAGTCGTATGTCGTCAACTTGGTTATGATCTAGATCATACGTACGTTACGACAATTCGTAGGCATCGTGTTTTTTCTGGTTCTGGACCAGTATGGTTATCTCGCGTCTCTTGTACTGGCGAAGAACAAAATTTAACAAGTTGTCCTCATAGTGGTTGGGGAAACAATCATTGTCGTCACTATCAAGACGTCGGAGTACAATGTGCTACAAAAGGTATTTTTATAGATTACAATTCTCAATTCTCGTTTTATACAATGTACCATTATCTTAATAAATTGTGTTTAGAACTATAGGGATTCTCATCAGTACGGCGAAAAGAGCATCCCAAAGTTAGTAAAAAGGAAAGTTTGGTGGCGAAATATTGTAAGGTGTGAAAAATATCAGCCAGCGAAATAAATTAGCATTAGGCTTGAAGAACGTTATCATTTTTAACAATTTAGAACACTTTTTTGAGCGTAATATGTAATTATATAAAAATTGCCAACTTAACACGGCGATATTTTCCCGATTTTACAAACTTTGAGATGCTCTCTCCAGCTGTATACCTTAGAACCGACGAATTTTCCTAGTTCGGAATTTAGTTTAACCGGGGAATGGTCCATTAACTATAGAAATTAATACACCGTTAATATATCTTAACCTAAACTAAAACTCATGGCCAGAAATACAGCCCATTATGGATGCTGAGCATGCGTGATTTAGCGCTAACTCAAAAATCTAATATTGCGTCCCGTATAAGAAATGAGTAGGAAAATTATTAACGCCTGTATTCTAAAAGCTCACTCACACTGACACTTGAGTGGGACTCAAGGGAGATGCACTCAAGTGGAACTGAAGTATGAGTGAGAGTGGAGTGAGAGTGTGAGTGTCCGCTCAATGAGGGGTCACTCACCCTTGAAAATATTAGGCAGATTTGAATTCAAAGACGTCACTCGAGTGTGACTTGCTGGAGTTTGGCTTTGATGTTGAATATTAATGAATGATGGAAGGTATATAGACTTGTAAGACTGTTGTTAGTCTTGTCAATGCGTTCGTACGACGTTACTGATTAAGATGGCTGAAGGTAGACAATATTTTTCGCAATTGGAAAGGTCGCTGTTAACTGAATTAGTGCGAAAGCACAAAGATCGTCTAGAAAATAAAAAGAATGATTACAAAACCATACACAAGAAAAATAAAACGTGGGAGGCTGCATCCGAACAATTCAATTCCCAGTCACGTGTGACGAAGAGGGATGCAAAGCAGTTAAAAAAGTGTTGGGAAAACGTCAAGGCTCGTGCGAAAAAACAACTGGCGAGAGAGAAGAGAGAGGTTAAGTTAACTGGTGGCGATCCATCATCATCGAAACAAGACGATGAAGCTGCGGCTGTTGCTTCTATAATTCCGGCCCAAATCAACAGCTTAAGTAATGTATTTGATGATGATAATTTTGAAGTAGGTGAGACAATGCAAAATCGCTATGCATGTAGGTGTTATACCATGGTATATGTCTTCAATTAATTTCCAACTACTTTCAAATTTGTACATAACATGTAATTGACTTTATTGGATGTTTAATGTATAGCATTCGATCGCGATGAAAATGAAATTGATTTAGAGACGACTACTTCAGGGGAAGTCACTGCACCGAACGAAAAAGAAATGCCGCCATCTGTCGTTGACGCTGCCCTAACACCATCATTCACAAGAAAACCTCAAATATACGCTGCCCAAGCACGTTGTTTGGACATGCAAAGCAAGCAGCATGAAGCAGAGATGGAGATCTTGGTGTTAAAAAAACAAAACATAATAAATGAACACACAAGGAAAATGGAAGTGCTAGACGCTGAACTGCAATATTGGGAATCGATGACTAATTCAATTAAATCCGCACAAGAGCAGCAAGAGAAACAAAAAACACAGGCTAGGAAGCAAAATTAACGACAAAAAAGCCTTAAAAATAGGAAATGGTTGTACGAGCATATTATATATTGCTTGTTCTGGCCATTATGAAGTTGTGTAATTAGAGAACAAAAGATCAATGATGTATATTGTATTTAATAGTTTAATTAGTATACATGTATATTAATGGTGTCGTCAATATGAATAAGATATGTATAATTTACGTAAAATGTTGCATTATCAGGGATCGCCGAACCGCATTTCCCAAACGTCTTTCATCAGCATGCATATCATCTAATGCTTCCTCATCAGCCGGAATATGATCTGGTTCATCTATGGGATCATTTCGGCTTCTTACGAAGTTATACAACACAGCTGTAGCGACAATTATAGTTAGGGACGTTTGCAGTTTTGTGCGAAGTGTCGTCGAAAGACATGGAAACATCCTTTTCCATGTCCCAAACATCCTTTCCACTGTGTTTCGTGTACGTATTTGAGCCCCATTATACCTGCGTTCCGGTCGGGTCTGCGGATCATTTACTGGTGTCATTAGATATTGGCGGCATGGATAACCGCTATCACCAAGCAATATACCTGGGATATCACCACATTCAAACTGTGCACATATGCGACTATTGTCGAATATTCCAGCATCGTGTACGCTACCGGGCCAACGAGCGACAATGTTTAAAATTTCTAAATTTGGCCTGCAAACCGCTTGAACATTTATTGAGAAGTATCCTTTTCGATTTCTAAATAGTTCAGCATTTTCACCCCCCGGACATGGTATTTTTATGTGTGTACAGTCAATTGCACTCACAACAAATTAAATGCACAAATTCTCCAGAAATCTAGTTTAAGTTGATCCAGCATATCACCTTCAGGAAAAGTTATGTAATTGTTTTTTAAGCGTGCGATTGCGTCGGATACTCGCTTTATAATTCGACTTGCTGATGGCTGCGAAATTTCGCACAAATCTCCGCATGCTAGCTGGAATGTTCCCGTAGCGTAAAACCTGAGCGTCAACAAAAGTTGGATATCTGCGGGAATAGGTTTCCCTCGGTCGTTATGTGCAGATATTTCTGGCCTAATTATCTCCAGTAACTCTCGAAATCCGGCCTTAAAGGCTGCTTTCCAGTTCTGCGTTTTTCTACGTGCGTGCACGCACGTTTTACGTACGTGGTCTCCGCAAGCGTAAACGCGTGAGTTGATCGGTGTTCAACTTTTACGCGAATGTTCCAGACACGCAAGCCAGTTATCCAATGGAAAGTGATTGTCAGATCACGTGAACGGTGTTTTTTCAGTTTATAAAATATAGAAATAGCTAAATATAATATTAAAAATTGGAAAGTTTCCAGACTTTTGAACTGTTCGAGATGGGAAAATATTCTAATGTGGAAGAAAAACTTATTTCAGAAGTACAAAAGTATCCTGCATTATGGAATACCAAGGATAATAACTACAAAAACAAAACCATTAAGGAAAATGCTTGGCAAGAGGTCGCAGAATGTGTAAATAAAGACAGCGACACCAGCTACACAGGTATTAAAATCTGTCTTTTTTATGTTAGGGAGCTTTGTTGTTGTTATATGATTTACTGTGGAGTGCAAAGTACATTAGTCAGTGTATTAATGCAATATAAAAATTGCATCATGTTTTGCCTGAAATATTGCTTGACAGTCCAGAATCAAGGCAAGCTTTTAAAATTGCACTCAGTAATGAGAATATTCTCTATTTATATAAATCACATGCATTTTTAATCCGTATCATGTATATGTATTTGTATCCGTATCATGTAAACAGGTATCATGTATTTTCACTTGGAAATTCCAGGTGCAAGGGTAAAAAATATTTCCAAGGGTTGCCAATAATTGCTCACATATCTCTTAAATGGTTTGGAAAGTCCAAGGAAGGGGTAAACTTATTCAACTTACTATATGTATTTCAAGGGGTGCAGTTTCCAAAAGTTGCATGGGATATCCCAAGGGACACCCATGAAAAACCAGGTCTCAGGAAATTCTAGGGGAAAGGTCCTCAACTGTAATTATAAATGCATGCAATATATATATATATATATATATATATATATATATATATTAATATATATATATATATATATGTGCCAATTCAATATTAAGCAGAGCATTTTGGTTCAATATAACAGCTGACCAGCTTTTACTTTATTAAATCTGTAGTATCCGAATATAAAGATAGAATATGGAAGAATATTCGTGATAATTATGTTCGTGCACTAAGTGGTACTGCAAAGAAAAGTGGTTCGGGGGTAGATGAAGCACCTCAATATCCTTATCTCAATGCCATGTCTTTTCTCAAACCTTATGTAAATATAAGAGCTAAGAATGCAGAGAGTAATTTCCAACTACCAATTGTACAGATCAATGACACATTAAATCAAAACAAGACAAATGAAGATTCATCACAACTTGGATGTGAAAAACAGTTGGAAGTTGAATCTCAGAATACAGATTTGTCTGGTTCTACTCAATCCAAAAAACCCAGCAACATGGTTGTGGAAGATACTACTGTTCAAAAGCCCACTAGAAAACGATCATATGCATCAATGTCTCAACAGCATGTGGATAGAGCCATAGATGTTAAAATTTTGGAATATCTATCTGGTACGAAAAATCCAAAAGAATCAGTTATCACAACACCAATTAGTGCAGAAGATGCCTTTGGTAAGAGTGTATCCGCTCAACTTCAATTATTGGATCCTGAGGCCAAAGCAGTTGCAATGAGTGAAATTCAAAAGGTCTTGTGCCAAGCTCAGATCCCACAGGCTTCAATGATTACTCAATCTCACAATAACAATCCTGTCTTAATAACCCCATCATGGCAAGAAGATGAATAAGTATGAACCAAGCATGTACTGTTAGCAAACACATATATTTAACATAATTAATAATCTGTTTTTAACATATTCTTTGTGTTTTTGTTAATTGTTTACAATTTTGTTATTATACAGTTGATATAAACATTAATTCTTTACATTAATGAAATTTGTTATTTATTGATTCACACAATTAAAATTATATTTTTCTTATTCCTCATGTTGACCAAGATTTTGCACATGAGCATATTGCCATGGCACTTCTCCTTCAGCTGATATGAAATAATGTGTGAGCAAATCTTGAACAGCCTTGGCATTACGTGCATAGTTATTACTACCCTGCTTTTGAATTGGTAACAGGCCAGTGTCGTTTTGTGTCAAAGTCCTCCAATCTCCGGGCCTGTTTCTTCCATATCTATACACAATTTTATGATATTTCAATCTTAAGCACTTGCAAGACATGTGTATAATATATTTGCTATTTGCCTGTGATAGATAGATAATCTAATATATACCTGTCTTCAATGTCAATGAATCCGGCTGGGCAGTATCTCTTAGATTGATTTGGAATGCCAAATTCCTCAATCATCAGGTAATTATGCAGAACAACAGTAGCTTTGGTTATACTGGCAACTTTTCTAGTTGATGCCTGAATTGGTCTCCTCAGCACTCTCCACCTAGCTGCAGCAATGCCAAATGTATTCTCGATGACACGCCGTGCACGAGATAGGCGATAATTAAATATCTTCTCTCCTCTGATAGAAATTTACCAGGGTGCGGCTTCATCATCCATTTCTTTAGTGGGAAAGCATCATCAGCGACAAATAGATAAGGGCACTGATCCGTAGGTTTCTTGGGTAAGGAACCAGGTACAGGTAAATTTAGATTATTATTTTCAAGAGCTTTTCCAAATTCTGATTCAGCAAAAATGCCCCCATCAGCATTTCGGCCAGAACTACCAATTTCCACCAAGGTAAAGAGGTATCTGGCATCACATACTGCCATCAACACTATGCTATGGGTACCTAATATTTATAAATGAATAGAAATATTAAAGATTAGGGCATATATAGCAATTTGAAAAGATAGTTGGCTTGACAGAAAAAAACACTTAGCCATATCATTTGTAGTTCATGTATTTTTATGAAACAAATTATAATTGTAGAGTTCAAATTGGCCCTGCATGTTATCTATTATTTTTAAACCTTTGTAGTTGAAAAACGAAGAACCAGCACGGGCAGGACATTGCATAACCACATGTTTCCCGTCAATTGCACCACAGCACATTGGGAAATTCCATATCTCCCAGAAGTCGGATGCAATCTTCTTCCATTCATTTTCATTTGATGGTGCTTTCATGTAATTTCTTAACGATTTCCACAAAGCTTCAGAAGTCTCCTCGACAATTCTTGTTACTGTCGTATGACCAAGACGAAAGCTAAATGCTATGCTTTGCTGCGAGTCGCCTGTTGCCAAGTATCGAAGGGTAACAGCCAAGCGCTCTCCGGGAGATATAGGTTCGCGGGTCAACGAATTTTTAACCAAGTATGGGCCAACGAGACGTAGGGTTTCTTCAAAACGTTTCGGGGTCATTCTGAAATACTGAAAAAATGACTCGTGGTCATTTAGTCGCATTTCTTGAATTAATCGATGATATTCGCCAAGAGTTTTTCGACGTTTCAGTATATCTTTTACCCAGAAACGCTTTTTGTATTTGCTTATTCCTCGTTTCCTTTTACGAAGCCACAACAACAAAACTAACTCCTCGTCGGACGCCATCTTTAAAAATTTTAAATCTCCCGCGAATTTTACGCAACTAAAAACGCTGTTGTGGATATGAAAAATCCGTGCGTTTTTATCCGTACGTTTACGCACGGGAAAAAAACGCAGAACTGGAAAGCAGCCTTTAGTTATTCGGTATCTGCCACGGAACTGCTCCTCGTCATATTTCCCATAATAAAAAATATAAGGTCTCCGCCTATCTCTGTTGTTTCTTGAGACATTATCCAGCAATTCTAACCTTCTTAACCACCTTTCGCCATATTTGAATCACTAACTGCAACTGAGTATAACCAAGTGTAGCTCAAGGGACGTATGCCTCTCACTCACACTTCACTCAAAATCTGAGTTTCACTTGAGTGTGAGTGGTGTCTTTGAAAAGCTGGAGTGTGAGTGTAGCATTATACTATGTGAGTGTGAGTGGACACTCATTGAGTGTGAGTGTGAGTGAGCTTTTAAAATACAGGCGTAAATCTTGCTTTCTATGTAACCCACAATAGAGAAGTCATGTTTGTCCACGTCCAAAACATCATCAATTTATTGATCTTTAAACACTTAAAATTTGAGGACAAGTGAGATCCCCAAGTATGTCCCCGAGAAAGAATATTTTAACGATTTAAATTGTATAAGAAAGTATAATACTCCGGGCATATTAGGTATCTTACTGCTCCAATTTCTGCTTGTTGTTGGCATGCATCGGCAAATGTCCACGTTTGATCCGGACCATCTGGTTCATAAAGCTCTAGCTTTATTTACATTGAACTTTATAATATAGCATGCTGATTGGTCCAAAAGCGTGTCTCTATTTACAATTAGACAACGAGTCCGAGTTGTCTATGAGGGCTATGGTGGCATATGTTGAGCTATGTAACAAAGAAAATTAGGTATCATGATACACTTCAAGCGGGGTCACTGAAAGTAATTACCGAAAATGGTGAAAATTCAGGATAATAATTATAAGAAAGCAACTTTAACCGTGCCTGTGTGAGAGATACGCTTTCATAAAGCGTCAAACGCAGCTGGTATCACTTTTGATTGTTATCAAGCCTGTTTTTACTTAACTACAATTACTCAACCATAAACAAACGTAGTTGTCCTTGCACTTGTGTGACTTTTTGTAATGGCCGATAAATTGATTGAGAGAAGCCAGGGTGAACCACAGTTACTAGAATATACATGGTGTGGAGATTAGATGGAAGTACAATACAACTCATTATCTATGTTATTGTCCAGGTTTAATTTATGGAAAAAATGGTTCCTTATCTGTCACATGTCTATTGTATTTTTGCCCAACTAACCAATAGCAATGCCTTGGCTTAGCTCCTCAACCTGGATTTGAACAGCATGTTAATTCAGACCTTACCATTGGTTTATTTGTTCAAAATACAATAGACACGTGATGAACAAGGAACAATTTCTGCATAAATGTTCCCCGACATAGTTAATGAGTTCTATTGTACTTTTATGTAGTCTCTAAACCATGTATATTCTATTAACTGTGGGTGAAGCCAGCTCTAATCCTGGACATATTGACATATTCTCCCCACTCACGCGTTTATCAAGGAAATGAGGGAATATAAATCAAGTATGGACCCTGAGATGGTATGGAGGCAAATTATAACCGACCAACATATTTTGGAATTTCAGTACTTCGTAGCTATTATACAGTTTATTATAAACTTACGAGGCTATATTATTGACGATTATTATTGATTATTATTATTCGATCATTATTATTAAAATACTTGAATGGCAGTTCAAAAACGAACTGAAAAACAAAAGTTTACAAGTATCAGAAAGGTAAAACTACTTACATATTTATATACAGGGATAAAATACTCAGAAATACATTTACTAACATGATAATACCATAATTACAAAAAGATATACTAACATTAGGTTCTAAAATATTAAAAGATTAAAATGAGTTCCATTTACGTATGCAATACGGCAAAAAGCTATGGTTATAGCGTTTCGTTCGGCATTTAAAAAGTGAGATCGATCGAGGATGTCTGAGATCGTACTCATGGGTTAAAGGTTTGGGTAATAGACTAGAAATTTTACCCGAAGGGTCATTATAATTATTTTTATAAAAGGTTCTGCATAACCGTTCCCTTCTCGCTTCTAAAGTAGGTAAATTCAGATCTTTAAGGCTTTCGGACAAATGGGGAGAAATAATTTTAAACGCACGTTGCTGAATATGTTCCAATTCAACGGTGAGGAAATTCGGTAGTGAGGTATGCCAAACTGGACACGCATATTCCAGGACAGGTCTGATGAAACTACAATATACAGCCTTAAGATCACTAGGTTGGACTCCATTTCTTCTTAATAGCCTTAAGGCATACAGGCGTTTGCTTGCTTTAGAGGATATGTGCTTGATGTGTGTGGTCCACTTGAGATCGGAGGTTAAATTTACTCCCAGAAGTTTGATAGAGTTCACAGCCTCCAGGGGTAGGTTTTTGACAAGCAAGGGTTGTGCCGGGGGCTCATTGATCAAGAAGGACACGGTAAAATCTTTAGTTTTTTTAACGTTTAATTTCATGTTGTTCACATTCGACCACTGTGTCACCTTGTCGAGTTCTTGCTGTAATTTTGGAAAATCCGGTTCAGATACTCTAACAACTTCAGAGATAGCACAATCATCAACGTACTTGTACAGTGGTAGTTCACTGGATAGATCATTGACCATCATAAGAAAGAACAATGAGCCCAATTTTGTACCTTGCGGAACTCCAGCATTGATTTCTTTCCAATCAGATTTGCAAGATTTTAATTTGACGCGCTGTTGTCTACCTTGAAGAAAACTTGAACACCAATTTATTAACACGGGTGGAACATTGAGAGGTTGTAACTTGCTCATCAGAATGTTATGATCAATTCGATCAAACGCTTTAGAAAAATCAATAAAGCAGGATCGAATAATGGTATTAGGTGTTTCCAGGGCCGAAAGCCAATGGTGGATTAGGTGCACGAGGGCGTGAGTCGTTGAAGACTTTTTCACACAGCCAAACTGGAGGGGATCAATGAATGGCATAACAATAGCTGCAAGCCAGTTGAAAACAAAAGACTCAAGAATCTTGCTCAGTACTGCGGTGAGGGATATAGGTCTAAGGTCCGTATCAATAGATTTCGGTGTAGGGATCTTGCTTAAAGGGAGAACATCCGCGCATTTCCACAGATCAGGTACACGACCTTCTCTAATCGAAGAGTTAAACATGGAGCATACAGGGTAGCTAATATTTGCGGCACATGTTTTCAGGATCCAATTGGGGATCTCATCAGGTCCTACAGACTTACGATCGTTAACACCTGCAAAGGCAAGTTCAACAGCATCACGCGTAATGACGTATCTATCAGGAACATTGGAAACGGGTACTAGAGTAAAATTTAAATGCGGTATATCAGCAGCAATACTGCAAAAGGATTCATTAATGACGGTGGCAAGCTCAAGGTCTCTCAAGACGGTGCCGTTTATAGCTAGACAATAGAACGGAGGGGGGTTGGACATTCCTGACAACGGTTTAATACCGTCCCACCACTTTTTTGGATTGCTCTCGTGCATGTGATTGATTTTGTCATAATAGAATTTTCGACGTGCACTTTTACAGAGTTTTATCACTTTATTGCGATAAACATTAAATTTGGGAAGGTCATTATTCAACCAAGCTTGTTGACGTTTGTTAATGGATTCTTCAATAGCAGGAGTAATCCATGGTTTATCATTGGGATGGAGTTTAACAGTACGCATGGGAATACATGAATTCAAAGCACCATGAACCACGGACTGGAACAAATCCAGTTGATCGTCACATGAATTTCGCCTAATGAGCGGTGTCCAATTAACCGAGTTCAGGCAGGATATAAAATTTCGTTTGTTGGAAACACGATAATCACGCATTAGGAGTCGTGTGGTGGGTAAGCTTGGAGCATGTGGTGAAGTGGGTTGAAGTAATATACTGGAATGATCAGATTGGCCAATAGGTGGCAGGATGGTAGCATCGTAGTAAGCCGATAGAGTTGAGAATGCTTGATCAAGGACATTACTTCCCCTGGTAGGCTTAGTGACCAGAGTTTTCAATCTAAAGGAATTGCACAGATTTCCTGGCTTAAATTGGTTAAAATCTCCGAGAACCAAGACAGCGGAATTAGGATAGCTGGCCAGTGAGGAATCTAAACATTTGAAGATATGCGTTCGAAGCACGTGGGGAGGGTGATAAACTGCTCCCAGGATAATGGAGTTTATTCCTCGTGGTAATCGATCCATTTTGATTAAAAACCATTGACTCTCAATTTCTGGATCGCCTAGGTCAGTTAATTCAGTAAAATTAAGGTTTGAGTTAAAATAGGAACAAAGACCACCACCGCGCTGGTTATTCATTCTATCCCGTCGGCACGATACATAACCAGGTATACGAATAGACTCGTTAGTTATTTGTGGATTTAACCATGTTTCAGTAATTACGGCAACGTCACACAGTTCGATAGAAATTGATGCAGAAACTTCGTCTAACTTGTTGACCATCGACCTAACATTACTAAACCAAATTTTTGGAAAGCGTGGGATCGTTACAGGGGTCTTCAATGGGATTAATAATCTAAAATTGGGAACCCTGATGCACTCCCGCCGTTTGTTTTTTCTGTAAGTAATCCTAGTAGGTATTCTCATCTCTGCTGGCTGATATTGTTCCGTGTTACTCGATGAACATAGTGGAGGTATTCCTCCCACGACTTCATTTGTTCTATATGGAGTCTTTTTGAAAACTCGAGTTGAACTTTATCTGGGGCTTAATATAAGTTGGCGGCTGCCAGGACTGGCACTCTTGTTGGATTCCGAGGCGGCCTTGGACGGTGATTTCTCCTTGGACGACGGTTTCTCCTGGACGCTTTTAATAAAAAATTTTGATCACGATTTCTGACTAGATGTCGATCGGTTAAAAAGGGGTGATTTGAGTCTTGAATTCCAGGTATATAGCCGCAATGCCTGGGTCTTGCAGGGAAAGGCTTCTTGCGCAATTCGCTTTCGCAGTCTTGCTTTTGAAGGAATGCTTTGTGTTGTTTAGCACGGTAATGATGAACCTGTTGACTTAATTAATCATTTGCATTTTGTTGATTTGCATTTAGTTGATCTAGATTTGGACTAAGACACCGGTGGCTTTTACTTGCATTTGGGAGATGACCAGCAGTTGGATCTTTTAGTTGGATCTTTCTGACTAGGTGTCGATCAGTTATAGAGGGGTGATTTGAGTCTTGAATTCCAGGTATAGAGCCGCAACGCCTAGGTCTTGCAGGGAAAGGCATCTTGCGCAATTCGCTTTCACAGTCGTGTTTTTGAAGGAATGCTTTGTGTTGTTTAGCACGGTAATGATAAACCTGTTGTCTTAGTGAATCATTTGCATTTAGTTGATTTGCATTTAGTTGATCAAAATTTGGACTAAGGCAGTGGTGGATTTTACTTGCATTAGGGAGATGACCAGCAGTTGGATCATTTTGTTCGTCATCAGTAACAATGATGACAGAATCATTAGCAGCTATTAAGCCCTTCGTTATACGGTTATGGTTTTGATATTCAAGCACCGATTCGTGACCCAGACCATTGGATAGGTTACGTTTGCTATTAACTGAGGCTAATCCGGGAGGACTTAATCTGTATTGTTCTCTATGTTCGCTGTTCCCTTTAGATATGATTTAATTAACAAAATCTCATCTTTGAGACGGTTTACCTCATGCTCTAAAGCACTGTTCTTTGCCTTTTCTCCCTCAAGATCAATAGGTAGGCAAGCTACTTCTTTAGACAGTTTAGATACTACGATTGCTGGGGGATCACCACGGGAATCGTTTAGGGCCTGCATTGAGTCGACCTTGCTATTCAGAATCTCAATCTCCAACATTATACTTTCCAAATATTCGCAGTTGTTATCATGATGGTCAATACTTTTGAAAGCATTTTCCGGCACATCTATGGCTGGCGTCAATAGGTCGATCAAACAGGCTTTTGCTTTTTTTCCAACTGTTCCTTTGAAAGTTAAGGCATTTCACTTGCCTTAACTTTCCGGGATACCATGTCATAGATAGATCTGTATTGTGGGCATCAAAACACTTTGAAACGCCTCCTGACCGCCGCCACTTGCCTTGTTGACCGAGGGCATTCGCCACAAAATCTTGTAAGGATTCGTAGCTATCCTGCCATTTAATTCGCTTACCAACGTAAGAAATACTATCCGATGTTATATACTTGTTTATTTTGAGGAAATCAAAGGTGTCAATGAGATTTTTATTTATCGACTCGGAGCTATGAAAACTGTGTCCATCCGCCATGATGGGTAAAGCAACTTAAGTTAGGGTGTCACCCTATGCAAGTGGAATGCTATTTATTGCAGAATTTTCTGGCCATGTTGCTTCATCGAAATGAAACAGTAGTGCCTGATTCATTTTGCTCAAACATTTCCTATATGCAATTACGAATACTAATTCTAACTTTAAAAAATTATATTTCAAAGTTTATACTCCATTATTAGAGGGGAAATAATATTATCCGTAGACATATTACTGTTGAGAGAGGCCTATACCATCCTCTAGCTATTTCTCTGGGTGTGACAATCTCTTATTATCTTGCAGAGGCTGTATTGGTAAGGTTGCAAGGACCATCAAGTTCAAATGGTATTGGTCGTGTTGAAGTATTATATCGTGGGCAATGGGGGACAATTTGTCGTGATAGATGGGATTCAAGAGATGCTCAGGTTGTATGTCGTCAACTTGGTTATAAAGATGGTGCCAGACCATTTTATGGTGGGCTTGTTCCTTCTGGTTCTGGACAAATATGGTTGGATGATGTTGATTGCAAAGGAACAGAACGGACTATAGCAAGTTGCTCTCATGGAGGTTGGGGTCTTCATAATTGTGGACACCGAGAAGATGCGGGAGTTGAATGTAGTCCAACAGGTACAAGTTATCGGTTCATTTTTTATTTTTTTTGGTAAAATGGTATTTCAATCGTAAAACTTTAACACCTGCTTTGAATTTTTTGAATTTATCTCCGAGCTGGCGCGGAACGCTTTGCGAGGGTACTAATTCCGTTGCGGCATTAATTACACCCGGGTATTGTGACAGAACATAGCGGAATCCAAAGTTGCCCAAATTCCATGTCATGGACCATGAACGTTCAATGGTCATGGTACTTGTGCGCACGCGCAAAATTTGAGCGAGTAGAGACTGGTAATTAGAAACTTGCTGATTGGCTAAGACGAAACGCTTCTGCTTTAGTGAAAAACGTCAGCAACTTAATTGTCATTTTGCAAACTATTTTTTCAAAAAGATGTTTCGGAAGCACAATATGAAATGTGGAATCAAATAAGATGAAATAAACAGTGGGAAGAGTTTAAGATATTATCAAGTAGCGGTGAAAAGGAACAACTCGTTTATAATCAAAGGCAACTTTGGGCAACTTCTGTCACATTACAGCCGCTAGGCGGCTAGTTTGAATTTCAAAGGTATCAGTTTTTTTACCCACGCAGATGTCCATATCGACACGTACGCACAGGGTAGTTTATACTCACCGAAATAACAAAATATCAATCCACATCATCTATTTGAGACATTTATATTTCTGACATGGGACACAATATGTGTCTCGTGGCTACGATAATCTAAGCAAGACGTCTTCACACATATTATAAAGTGTTGAGGTATAACATAATATAGGCCTATTACGTTTGTCCCTCCTGCTTCATTTTGGCGATTTTAGATTCACCTGTTTCGGTCAGATTACAAGGACCTTCAAATGGAACAGGAACTGGTCGGGTTGAGGTATTCTATCATGGTCAATGGGGAACAATTTGTTATTATGGATGGGATATGAGAGACACTAGAGTTGTTTGTCGTCAACTTGGTTATCCCGATACCGTAAGAACTCTTCGAAGAAACGAGGTTCCCTCTGGTTCTGGACAGATATGGTTTTCCTTCGTCGCTTGTTCTGGAGAAGAACAAAATATAACAAGTTGCTCTTATAGAATGGGTTATCCTGATTGCTCGCATTCTGCAGACGTTGGAGTAAAATGTTCAAGAACAGGTAAATCCTTGGAATTCATTAAAGCACTAACTTCTCTTCAATTCTCTCAGATTAGCATCAAAATAATGTGGTATAACTAATGCCTAAAATAGACAAAACACTTCTCTACGTTTCGACCTGACGGCCTTCGTCAGGAGAGTTAGTGCGTCGAAAGTTTTTTTGTCTATTTTAGTCAGATATAAAGTTAAAATTACGTAAATTATTTTCACGACTACAGATTTTACAGAAAAACAGTTAGCGGAAACGTTTTAACACTTGTATAAATATGTACAGTATGCACCAAACGGGCGGAACTCTTCTATTGTTCTGTGTAGAGAAAAACGCATTAATTCAAATACCAGGAGGATTATTTCATTCAATGTCATTGGAAAGATAATGCATCAGACCCGGTCCATACATTCCGAATTCCTTTGTATCCGCAAAAAAATTGTTGCGGTCATGCTTAGCGTCCACACGTGTTGCATTGTTCTCCATAATTTTGGAAACTTTTAGTATTGTTTTTAAAAACGCAAGAAAAATCTCATTCCATTACTTCTCAGCAAGATAACTTTAAGTGTAAAAAAGCTAACTTGCCAGAATTTTCATGACTGACTTAAAACACTTTTTTCTTCGAATTAATTAAAACAACTGTAATTCGTTTGGCCTAAGTAAATTAGAGACAGTTTTGTGGGATCGCTCGTTTCAATTTAAAGTTTGCCAAACTATTACTAAAAATACATTCATGCACCAACCCCTCGCCTCGGTTAAACAAACAATTAGTTAAGCATAGGGATAATAACATGATAGAAAATTTATACGGCTTGGGGCTGTGGTTAGAGGGTGGAGGGTACGTGGTATCACAGTTAACGGAATATACATGGTTTGGAATCCACATAAAGTTACAATACAACTCATTAACTATGTTGAGGTAGATTTATGCAAAAAAATTGTTCCTGTATCATCACATGTCTATTGTATTTTGCACAGATAAACCAATAGCAAACTTCTAATTAACATATTTTTCAAGTCAAGGTTGGTGAGCTTAGCAAGACGTATGCTATTGGTAAATTTGGCTAAAATACAATAGACACGTGACGAGAAAGAAACCATTTGTGCATAAACCTGGGGGCAGTTGTACGAAAGGCGGATACCGCTATCCACCGGCTAGTGTTTTTTAATCGCTCTAAAATTGCTCGTTGTTTTGCATAACCTAGACTAAACCATAATATTCTTAAGTTGGGGGATATCCTTCATTACTGTCGACTCCCAATCTGTAATTTCACTGCTTTTCAGGCATGTTTAAAACGGTTGAAGAAATCACTATCCGGTGGATAGCGCTATCCGCCTTTCGTACGAACGGACAACAACATAATTAATGTGTTGTATTGTACTTTCATTTAGTTTCCAAACGGTGTATATTCTATTAACTGTGGTGGTATGTGAAAAAATAAGTATTGAAATATATTTCTGGAAGTGGAAGCACTGCAGTCATATCAACTTGCAACGGCCGTACATTTTTAAAGGATCCAAGTTTACCCTCATATTTTTGGGAAAAATTGCAAAAATACGACAGATTCTTGCCTTTTTATGGAAGTTGAGTTACTCATCTATAGTCAGATGATGTATTTTCTTGTATTTGGTATAGTCAGATGATGTATTTTCTATTAATTACAATGAAATATAACATCAGACGTCTCATCAAAGTTTATAGATGAAATTATGTGGTCTATCACATAACACAATTATGCAGATTTATCCCCGAGAGGGCGCGGAGCGCCCTGTGAGGGTACCAATTACGCTGGGAGATTAATTACACCCGGGTATTGTGATATATAGAACATAATGGAATGTTTATATCACATCATATCACATATTCAATTGGCCACGTTTACTATTTTACAGCTATAACTGCGTCAGTCAGGTTACAAGGACCATTAAGTTACGATGGTATCGGTCGTGTCGAGGTATTCTTCAACGGAACTTGGGGAACTATCTGTGGTTATGGATGGGATTTAAGAGATGCCAGGGTGGTGTGTCGTCAACTCGGTTATCAAAATGTTGCTCGGGCCTTTTATATGAATCAGGTTTCTTCTGGTTCTGGACAGATATGGTTACAAAATCTCAAATGTACTGGCTCAGAGCGTAATATTGCAAGTTGTGTTCATAGAGGTTGGGGTGATACTTATTGCTCACATTCAAGAGATGTAGGAGTTGAATGCAGTACAACAGGTAAAAGATAAAAAAATCTAAATAATCAATTATCACATTAATTAAAATTAAGTTAGATCAATTGAAAGTGTTAGGTACCTGAAGTAAACAGTTTTTGATCGTATAAAACATTTCCTAGTGGCGATACTATTCGAATTCGTGATCCAATAGGTGCGAAAACAATACGATTGATTCTGTGAGTGTTTGAATTTAGTGAAAGCAGCCGTGCAATGGTAATAGCTATTTGCACGGATAGACCGTGCACTATAGAAACTTGAAAAAGGCGTAACATTTTTATTGGCATAAATTAACACCATATGTTTTGGATACATAATAATATGATCTATTTGTAACTTTACTATCATTAACTAACCTCATTTATTTACGTTCACACTATTTCAAGGTTTTGCAGCTACACTTTTTCTTGTGATTTTAAACTTTCTCTTAAGTCGCACAACATGCATTAATTGTATATTCTTATAGATTTTTCAGCTACGCCTGTGTCGCTAAGGTTGCGCGGACCTTTACGTGAGAAAGGAACAGGTCGTGTCGAAGTGTTCTATCATGGATATTGGGGTACAATCTGTGATAATTCATGGGATTTAAAAGAAGCTAGGGTTGTATGCCATCAACTTGGTTATCTGGATGCTGTTAAAACTCTTCAAAGAAACGAAGTCCCCAAAGGTTCTGGGCAAGTCTGGTTACATTATGTCTATTGCAATGGCCAAGAGCACAATATAACAAGTTGCTCTCACAGTTCTTGGGGAGTTAATCCTTGCACCCATCTCAACGACGCTGGAGTTCAATGTTCTACAACAGGTCGGTAGCTACTTAAAATACATTGTGTAGTATCCTCCAGGTCTCTCTAATACGACCAATGTTGTATAAGGTCGAAAAGATCGTTTCATTAGAATTCCGTTTCGCACGATAGGAGTACACTGATAATTTACATTGATTATTGATTCAATTATTCAAAATAGCCATTGCTTTAAGAAAGCGATGTTACATAAATAGAGAATAGTGGCCAATGTATAGTTACGCATGTCGTAAATTGTTTTTCCTTTAAAAAAGACTCTTATACTAAGAAATAAATTAGACCAATAAATGGATTAAATCTCTTTTTGCCTCTTTGCCTCTTCAGCTAAAGGGCAAAACTACGTCCCCTAAGGGGCTGATTACATGGAGTGTTTTCAGCCCGGGCTGGGTTTCAACCCCGCCAACCGGGCTGAAACTTCAGCCCGGGGTTGTTATAAAATTCTAACAAAATCACGCACGCGATTACATGACAAGAATTTCAGTCGGGGCTTAAACTTTGTGTTGTTGTCATGTAGCTAATCGTAAATAACTCCAGGGTTTAAATAAACTGGGTTTAAATAAATCGTTAAACCCAGACAGAAAAATTCCCCTTGACAATGCTTTCTCGTTTGTTTATTTCATTTTTATGTGCAGTCTTAAAGGTTGAGTTATTGTCATTTGGGATTTTAAAGCGCTCGAAGAATCGAAATAGGTCTACTATCAGCCCGAGTTTACAAACTCAGCCTGGGCTAAAATTTCAGCCCTGGTCTTGAAATAATTCTGACGTGTCATAACACAGCCCTGGCTAAAACTTGTCATGTAATTGCAAAATACTTTGGCCCCAGTTTTCCGGGGTGAAACTCTGCCCGGGCTGAAATGACACCATGTAATCAGCCCCTAAATCTGAGTCGACACTAAAATGGCTGTTTTCAAAAAGTAGTTCGTGACAAAGCAAAAAATAACAAGATCATGTAACGGGTAAATTTTGAAATATTGAGTCGTATAAATCTTAAAAATGTATGAAATCCTGTCGGCCCATTTGAAAAAAATTTCGGCGAATGCGCAAGATGTTAAAAAGCAAACAAACATATATCTTGTAAACAAATGACAATATAACAGTGATGCATTTATAACAACCGAAATAAGGTCTCTCGTGAGACCCTTCCACGAAATCTAAGAATACAGTTAAAAAGCGCCCTACAACAGCATTTTTGTTAAAATAATTCCTGTCTTCATCTGTCACTTTGACATACACCACTCGTTGCATGCCATTTTGAAAAATCTTCTCTAATGATTATTGGGTAAAAAGCTGAGTTTGCTCGACCAACCAGAGGCCGGAATTTTCAATAGTCATCTCTGTAATTACACTAAATATATATTGGACAGTTATTCTGCGAATTCGAATCTGCATGAATACACTTTTTATACCATTTACATCCATCATCGGCCATAGATTGAATACTTAATAGAACAATAAAGCGCTCTATGCAAAGACATTACAGGACAATTTTCTTCATAATATTCTTGTAATTTTGCATGGCGATAAAACAATATAATGTAAGTATATTACCTTGAGTAGGGTAACACTGGAAATTTCATTTTCAAATGTGTTTAAAAAAAAAGAAACCCTGAATATTTCCTATACCGATTTTTAACTGGCCTTTCTATACGTTCATTCTCTATTATCGTCTATAAAACAATTTTCTACACTTCTTTTTCAGCCATAACAGCGCCAATAAGGTTACAAGGGCGATCAAGTAAAGAAGGTACTGGTCGTGTTGAAGTATTCTACAATGGACAATGGGGGACAATTTGTGATTCAGAATGGGATTTTAAAGATGCTAGGGTTGTATGTCGTCAACTTGGTTATCCCGATGCTGTCAAAACTCTTAAAAGGAACCAGTTGGTTTCTCCTGGCTCAGGAAAAATATGGCTATCCGATGTTGGTTGCACTGGGAAAGAACAAAATATTGCAAGTTGTACTCATGGTGGTTGGGGGGAAGCTCCTAATTGCTATCATTCTCTAGACGCCGGAGTTAAATGTTCCAAGACAGGTAATTAATTATTTAAAATCAATGTCGGAGAGCATATGAAACGAATTCGTCTTTCACCGTGATATAGAAACGAGTTGATAATTTCAACAGACTCTATTACGTCAATTTTGCAAGTTGTTTCTCAGTAGCTTCATGCGCTTTTGTCGCTGACCATATCACAAGAATGAAAATTTCATACTCAGATCTCAGCCTGTCTCCAGGAGCAGTTCAAAAAGGTGTTGCTAGAGATGCTTGATTTGTCTTACCATGAACACTGTAAAAGCAAATATGCATTGATATATTCGCTTATATACACATTCCTCACATATTTTTCCAGTAATAACTGCGTCACTCAGGCTACAAGGGCCACTTAGGGAAGATGGTACTGGTCGTGTTGAGGTATTCTACAAGGGACAATGGGGAACAATCTGTGACAATCGATGGGATTTGCGAGATGCCAGGGTTGTATGCCGTCAGCTTGGTTACCACAACGTTGTGAGGACTCTTCCGAGGAGCGAGGTTATCTCTGGTTCCGGACCGATATGGTTAGCTAACGTTTATTGTACGGGAGAAGAACAAAATATTAACAGTTGTTTACATGATGGTTGGGGTGTCAGTTTTAGTCCGTGTTCTCATGATCGAGACGCCGGAGTAGAATGTTCTCCGACAGGTGATTATTTAAACAGGGCTTTATAACCAGCTCAAAAATTAGTGGTGTGATAATCATGTATTCAGATCCTCCTATTGATTATTTTGATTGCATACATATGCGATTTCAATAGAAATCCATCGGACAGAAGTGAAACATGAGTATATATACATAATTATAGGCAGCCCAGAAATGTTTTTGTTCTCGTGGCGTTCTCTTTCCGTTGATGCTAGTCAACTCTATTTAATACTACGAAAAAGTTGGCGAGTTATAACGTTTGTTAAAGCGTTAATATCTCTTAAGTTACAAATGAATGCAACCTGAAATTTACATCTTAAACGCCAGTAATTTGGTTACATTGTCTCTAAGATTTTACTTGAAGCGTGTATTAAAAGTTTGCTAAAAAGGCTTTCTCAGAATAATTTTAGGCATGGTATAGCCTTTCCGTCACCTGTTTTTTAAATGATCGTGCTTTACACACATGCAATGAAAATTTAAAGAGTGTTGGAAAACAGTCCAAGTCTGAAGCTTAATATATATGATATTTATGAAACGTTTCGCATGAGCGTAAGGTGTTTGCTTGATGTTTCATTAAGTGTAAAAACCTGTCATTAAAAATAATATTTTTGCCTGCCTAACATTTCAGAGAGGCCAAATGTAACAGTCAATTGTTCCAGTGTCATCGTAGTAAATCTTGGTGATGATATAACATGCTTGTGTGAAGGAAAAGGTGGAAAACCTCCAGCCAATGTGACATGGTATAAAGATGGCGTCCAGTTTGGTGACACAGAACAGGAGCAAAACGTGTTGAATCTCAGTAATGTCAGTGAAACAGATAATGGAACATACACATGTGTTGGAAAAAGCTACGCTCTCACGGATGAGAAATCAATCGAGATTGATTTTAATTACGGTAAACATAATTTAATTTACGGTAAATATTATATTTAGGTAAAACTTATTAGAAAAAACAATAAGTATTGTTGGTAATTAAAAGTACAGGGGTGACTATCAATATTTCTGGCCACCTATCTTTCAAGCGAACCTCGTTTACCCCGGGAAATTTTGTTGTACAGTCAAGCGACGTTATAAATATCACGTGCTAATCACGGAAGCGGTTTTTCAGTAAACATCCGGCGAGTCAAATATAATGAGGAATTAAGTATTTTGAAAGTATGTACAGAAGAAAAGGCAATCTTGGCCTAAGGTGTTTCAAGGTAAAAAAATACTTTGAATGTTCTATTTGAATTAGCCACCTCCGAGCATTTGTTAATGTTTGCAAAAAATTACATGCATCAGCAGCTGGCGCAATCGTAGCCTTTCCTGCGATCCGATTGCTTGTAGCAGCGGCCGGAATTTTACGATATCTGACCACGGTCCGGAATCTTATATTTTATCCTCGAGCGAAAGCGGTTTTTTTTTCTCCTAAAATATTTTTTCTAGGTTTGAAAAACGTCTGAGAAAAATTTTTGATACCTTGGGAAAATATTTTTCTATCCGGACCTCGCAGCCGGTAAATAACATACAAAATTATGCATGTATTCTATACAACCTACTTGCCAAAGGGTCTTGTAATGGGTCTATTTTGGCAAATAGTTGTGTAATAATATATGATTGCAAACAGGCTTCTAGCAAAAAATTCGTGAGTTGTCAGAATATCGCGAGGATCTTCTGAGAGGATTCCAAAACGTTGGAAATTTAAACAAGTATTGAGTTTTGAGGTTTCGCTTTCACTTTCACTTTCACAAGCATCTCGATCCTGTCCGAGACGATGTCATAGCATGACATCATTGAGGATTAAGAGAAAAAAAATGTTTAGCCGTCGTTTCGAAAACATAAATCAATAGACTTATGACTTTCAATAGACTTTCGTAAACATAATTTAAACGACCTGTATTTCAAACAGCCAAAAAATAGCTACAACAAATAATGCATGTTTTATTTTCAGAACATTTAGACTCCAAAGGTACAAAGGACGAAATGGAATGGTATATTTCTTTCATCATCGCCATGGCTGTAATTATTGTTGTATTTTGTGTTGCATATGCTGTGGTGTATTATCGTCGACGATGGTTAGAAAACAGAAATGCTGGATCGAGCACCGGTGTTCATGATACAAATGCAGGTGAAATTTACGAAGAGGTTAATCTTAAAGATTTGGCACGAAACCGCTACCAGTCACCAGGAGATGCCGTAAAGGATGATTACTCAAGCTATGCACAGTTAGATAAAGTGAGAGATGCAGAAAACACTTATCAAAGTTTAAAATAACTATAGTTGCGATAATACGATAATGACATGCGTCCATGCATGTAAGATATTTATAAGTAGACTTGCTTATCTGACAATTTCCAGCAAATATTATTAAAAAAAATACATTTACTAAAGTTAAGGGTGCTTAATAGTATTACGTAATCATCTAAACGGAATGTGGCCTATGGCCCATCGCTCATATACAATGCTGTTGGTAACTTCGTTAGAAATAACTAGTCACAAATATTCGTTATAATTTTCAGTAACTGGAACGGTAACTCGTTTTTATTTTTAAACATGTAAGGTAGCGGTATAACTAATTAAAAAAGCATTCAAAACTAAAACGATTATATATTACAAGTTGTAATACGCTCGGGACAAGTTATATTACATTTTTAAATAAAAAATTAAGGAATCATTATGTTCATACAAGGTTGCATCACATTGAATGCAAGCGTGCTATTCTGTCGAGGAACGGTCGGAACTAATCAGAAAGCTAAAAATTGTGTTTAGTTCTAATAGAAAAAAATGTTTTTCTTTGTTGTTTTTCGTTACTAGGCCTACTCAATACTCAAATGTTACTTGTAACTAAGTTACAAAAATAACTTTGTAACTAAAACCAGTTACAATTTCGAACTTGTAACTTGTGACTTGTACCGGTAACTTGCCATGATTCTAGCAGAGTACCTGTACACGTGTAATTAGTTATAAACAAGAGGTAACTGTTACAGCACTGCCCATATATTATATTTTGGCATTTGGTTAAGATAGGTCTTACGATTAACTTAGTCATAGAATTTCGGCACCTTCCCGCGGACTTTACTGAAAGATTGAGATTCTCGTGTGCATGGCAATTCGTACACGTAGTTTCACTGTACAAGCGATGATTCCTATTCTTGCCATTTTACCATAATATTATATGGCATTCGATACAAATATTTCGGTCACGAAATTTCAAGTTGTACCGTTGTGGTATCGTGTATTGCATTGAAGGGAAGATAATCAAGCAATAGCTACATAAACTGAAACAGAACTGAAACGGAAGCTGAAACAAAAAATTAAATAATTTTTTGCTGTCTGAAATAGTTACGAAATCTTTCGAAACTGTTTAGTTTAATGAAGAATTACACATGCCTTTTTACGTGTTTCGCCCACTTTGTCGCCAATTTTGAACTGCAGTTAACACAGAATTAAAAATTTAAATTTACGTACTAGAAAGCTGGGTTACGTACTAGAAAGCCGGGTTAATTATAAATTTTTCATCAATTTTAACCCGTCCCCAAGAGGAAATATTTCTCACAGATTTAATGCTTACAAGTTTCAGTGAAGTCAAGGCCGTATCTAGAAGCTTAATTGGGGTGTGGTATATATTCATATATTATTCGTCCTATGCCCGACTGATTTCTTTTGTATATCAGTTACTTTAGTTCATGCCATATAATAAACTTTTATAATAAACTTATGCCATATAATAAACTTTTTATTAACCTCGCTTGCTCGGTCTTTACAGAGAAATATCGGACCTCGATCTTTTTGTACAAACCTCGCTCTTCGAGCTCGGTCTGTTCGAAAAGACCTCGGTCCGATATTTCTCGGGAAAGTGCTCGCACTCGGTTAATGAGAAGTTAATAACAATTATATAATTCCCACGTGAAGTGATATTTATTTGCAAATCCTCTGTCTGTTTACCATATATTGGTCCAGCCTCGCGTAAAAGATCGTTAGCATTTTACAAGGAATTGGAATACAACTTTACCACTCAAGCAACGGTAGCGCTTTTTAGACTCACAAGAATGACGTGCATAAACATCAAAAACGTTATTCAAACCTGGTGAGCATTCTATGCCGTGAATATGTTTTGAGAATATTAGGTGAAATTTTATGATAAATTATGCTCATTCAAAATGCGGCCCCAGGGCCTTTCCTCTTCTCACCTGTCCTCCCAGCCCCCATATACAGTCCAAAAAGGCCCTGGGAACGAGGTTGGTCAATACGATCAAAATTCGTCTCACTGTCCATAATGTATTCATCTAATTTGTTTGCTATATTCTCATGCATATTTACCATCATCTCGGTGATCATGCCAGTCATGGCATGGGTTAAATCCGATCCAGTTTAGCGACACCCTTCAGGCCCGGTTGTATCAAGCCCGTTTTGCTTAAACGGTGGTTAAGTTCAAAGAAAAAGCAGGTCTATCGTTTTATTCAACAAGCAAACAAAATGTTTTTAACCTTAAAAGATAGGTACTGTTTACAACTACATTATTCAGGGCATAAGATTCAAGTCGATCAGCAAATTTGCTTCAAGCACACTAAGGGGTTGTTCACATGAGGCCGGTTACCGAGATTTAACGAAGCATAACATTTTGAAGTATTGATTAAGTTCTTCTGAAACAGAACATTTTACCCTAAGCAACATAGAACACATCAACTGGCGCGTGGTGATGCACCGTGGTAATGGCGTAAGTCAGCGTACGTCATCGTTTCAGCAACCAGGGTTGCCGGATTACTGCTCGGCTCTTTGATTTCATTGTTTTAAACAAAGAAAACAGCGATTATGTTAATATTATTTGGCTAATTTATTCAGTAATCTGTTAACCCTGTCAACAACCACGGCGATGTGCAAGGTTAAATGCAACGTAATTTACCTTTTCTTTCGTCTTTAAGGATCAATGCCATTGTTAATGAGCACGTTGCAGTTGTATTTCCTAAACTCTCTGCAACTATATCCAAGACAGGAGAAACGTGCTGTATCGGCAAAACGTGCTGGCGAGGAATACAAAGAAAACTACATATTACTTTCCTTTTTAGCCTGAAAAGGGAAGGAAGCATGAGGAAACAAAACCTTGCTTTTCCCTCGCTTAAAAGAAAATGAAGAAGGGAAATTTATCTTACTTTCCCGACATATCGACGTAGACGACGCTTTTAAACACAAAGCTTAATAGACGTAGTGCCCACTCACAAAAATTGAAACCAAACTAAATTTCATGTTAACCGGAAGTACGTCACTTCGATTTGGTAGTATTAGAATAATGCAACAAATATTAACTTGAGCAGGCAGTTTTCCAGATTCTTATTTCATATTGGTGATATCTTGTGTTTTGTCATTTCTACAGTGAAAGACGCATGTGGAATTCATAATAACGCTAATACATTAATAATCATAACAGACGCGCCTTACTAAAACATTGTAAGAACGGGCGGCTTATTTTATTAAAGTTGTACGTAAATTGCTGCTTCTATCGATTCTGTGTTGTATAATTGAGAAGCTCTCCGAACGCTTCCGTTGGTTTTCTTGTTGGATTTTATATGAAGAAAAAGCCGAGAGGTGCAGAAGAATAAAGTATGTAATATAATGATGCCTAATTATTATAAACATTTTGCGATACGGTTCTGTGACAGTAATTCGGGAAAGTCAGGAAGTGGTTTATTGTAGCGTGTTCAAAGTGTACGGGGCATTAATACTAACAAATGAATCCATTTATTTCGTTCGTTTGTTAATCGTTTAGATATAAATTAATTCTATCGTTAAATTATATCTAGAAGTGAATAAGAATCACAAATTTTTATAGTCACAAATTTCCATGGCGGTATCTTTCTTTGCCGTAATTGGGGATCTTTATGTTGGCCCGGCGAGGCCAACAATATTTGTGAAGAGGATCGAGGTTTCAAAATCAATGTGTTTAACTTTACTTTCGATAAACCAACTTCAAACATTTATCTGCTGCGGTTAAGAAATGAATACAGGGTTTTCCACAAAGTATACCTTATGTTTTGAACGTGCGTTGTGAATTGTGATACCTGTAGGAGTTAGACCCGTTTCAGACGTCGAACTCAGTTTCATGCGCTGAACCTAATGTTAATAAGCTAAAGTTTTTGTTTCACTTCATTTGCATTCGATTCGGCACATGAAAAGTTCAACGTCTGAAACATGCCTTAGTTGAGCGGAACAATAATAACTTCCTGATCCGAACAATATCGGCAATTAGCCATTTTCCAAACGAGCAAGGGTACTGCATGGGTATAGATCTAGTCGCGAACCGCAAGGCATCTATGAACTGTTTGGACAAATATCTATGCTTTGACAAATAACTAATTGACAATGTGCTTTTAATATTTGAAAAGAAATTTTACGAATCACCGAAATAGGGGTGCTTTAATTCGGCCAGTCGGCGACTGTAACGACACCCGCGTGCGATAAGGAATTCGGGCAGTGTCGCTGGGTCTGCTGGGTCCTTCGAATTTGTTTATTGCAAAAGCACTCAATGTGACTGGATCTACATTCAACCCTTTTAATACACCGACAATTTCTTTATTACTGGTGAACACTTGTGTGTGAACTTTAAAATTACCGAAACAAAAGGCACACTGGCCCAACATACTCCGTGAGTTTACAAGAAACTATTGTAAACAAGGCTCAGAAAGAAATAAACAAGCTCAATTTTTTTCTAAGGTGTTAAATGTTTCAATTGTCAACGTTAATTACTACTGAAAAGTAGCAAAGTGGGCACAAGGCACTTTTAACCACTTTTAGTCTGTTTTTATGGAGGCTACGGAAATGGCTTATAGTAAAACTTGGCCGCGAAATATTGTAAAGTACCGAAGATATAACCTTTAATGAAGTTAGCAAATTTTGTATACTTTTGTATAATGGCCGGAAGAGTGTAATTAATATATAAAACTTTTGCTCGTAATACATAAGTTTACAAAAATTGTCTACTTCGCGCAAGGCTATATTTTCCGTTCTACTCGACGTTTTGCAGCCAAACTTGGCATTTATATACTAATCTCAATATGCTTATTTACCACCGACAGAGCATGACGTGAGTTTTCGAGCTCCTCCCCAGTGAGCACAACGACGTCGATTCAACGTTGAATCGACGTCACCCAGCGACGTCGAAACGACGTCGAAAAAGGTTCGAAAACGCAAATCGAATCGACGTCGATTATTCGACGTCGAAACAACGTCGGGTTATCGACGTCGAATCGACGTCTGGAATTTATGAAATTTCAACGTCAAAACCAAATCGAAAATGATTTGAAAACGCAAATCGAATCGACGTTAGATTATTGCCTTTAAAACAACGTCCGTGCAAAGGATTTTAGCTGGATTTTGAAATGCATATAAAAAACATAATTGCACTGACTCTATAGTTCAAACAAATTTTATTCAATTTACATCACCTTGTTTAAATCTACAATATACTTGATTTGAAATTACGAAATCAGATTCGAAAAATTGTCTCAGGGTTTCCTTCATCTCTTTCTTAAAATCTCGCCTCAAAATAGTGCGAGAAGAGTCTCAGTATTGTAAAATAAAAAGTTTTTGGACACTATAGACCATTATGGAATTGGACATTATGTTCAAGTAT